CCTCTGCACAACTCCGCCGCCGACTTCACACGTCAGAGCATGATGTCCCTGGCCGTCCATGCCACAATCGCACCTTTGCCCTAGCTGCGACAACCTGTGCCCGCAAGTGCTGGCGGCCGGGCGTGTGCGCAGAGCTCCAGGGTGTAACATCTGCAGCCGCAGGCGCAAGGCCACGAGGATGTGCTCATCCGGCACCAAGTGTCTTTTGTCGATGGGCGGCAGCAGGAAGGCACCAGCCTCGTCGCCCGCAGGCCGCAAATCGGCGCGACCTGGGTCGTCGACGTCTTGCAGCAAAGGCTTCCGGCACTTCGTGCCGACGTGCTTCATCGACGCCTTCTGCTGCCTCAAGCGATTCGAAACGAAGCAAGCCGCCCAATCGGCCTGATAGCCTTGGTATCCAAGACAACGGAGCTCGTCCCCCGCGAGCGCCAGGGCAGCGCCCGGGCGAGGAGAGCGTCGGGCGAGTGCGACCCCCGCGCCGCGGCCACGTCTGAGAGGCATTGTTGCCGGGAGGCGATATACGCAGCACTCCGGGTCAAGCGAGCGGAATGGAGCCCCAGGCCTCCGTCCCGGCACGGCAGCCACAGCTGTTGCTGCTGGCGCGGGATGAGCTGGGCGCCGAGAAGCTGCTCGAGGAAGGCAACAACTCGCCGGTCGTACTCTGCGCACCAGGCTTCGTTCGCAAAACAACCTCTGCGCAGGTGGTTGCTGGCCCCGCCCACGAAGGTACGTAGCAACGCGAGTGCGGTCTGAACGCGCAGCCCTTTGGTGAGAAGGATTTGCGTCCTGCCCAAGAAAGTGTCCAACGCCTCCAACGATGCCTCGAAACGACTGTCTGGCCTCCTCCTCTTCCTCCTCCTCCTCCTCCTCCTCCTCCTCCTTCTCCTCCTCCTCCTCCTCCTCCTCCTCCTCCTCCTTCTCCTCCCCCTCCTCCTCCTGACTATACTTTCCTTCTCCTGTCTCATCCTCCCTCCTCCCTCTTCCTACTTCCTCCTGCACTGCACTCCTCAGCGTCCGTCTCCTCCTGACCCGACTGTCTTCTCCTCCCGAGGATGATGCTCGCGTGGTGCCAGCACCACGAGGTGCCCCTGGCGGAGGTCGCGTTCGACCTGGACGGACGCCTCCTGCAACCACAGGAGTCCGTGGAATTGGGGGTGCGTTGGCGGCGCTCCTCTTCCTGCGGAAAGAGATCCAGAGACAGAACAACAAAGCAAAGAAAGAGAGAGAGAGAGAGAGAAAAAAAAAAAAGAGAGAGAGAGAGAGAGAGGGATCTAGTGAGAGGGAGAGAGAGAGAGAGAGAGAAAGAAAGAAAGAAAGAAAGAAAGAGAGAGAGAGAGAGAGAGCAGGAGAGAGAGTGAGAGAGAAAGAAAAGAGTGAACTTGGTAGAGATTTTGCGCAGAAGTAGCTATGGCAGCTTTTCTGGCGGACAAGCGTGGAGCACCTGCGACATTTTGTCCGTTGATTGGGTATTGCTCTTCAGGTGACTACGGAGGATTTCGCGGAAGTTGCGGGGCCGAGTTCGGTGGGCGGCCGGGTTCCCGGGGTCACGGTTTTGGGTTGCGGTCCGATATTTGTGGGCGGTTGGAGCCACGGTGGCGCCGCGTGAGTGGGCGCCTGGAGGAGAGTTGCCCCAAGCTGCGTCTCTCGCGGGCGGGTCGCTCGACGCCCGCCCCCTTGATCACCAACTGCCGGCCACCGCTCAGTGCTCCACGCACCGAACTGCCACGAGCCACCCGCAGTCCCGAAGCCACCGCGTCAAGACTCGCCGATGCGCCCTCGCCGGGGCCAGGAGAAGGCACCTCCCGCCTCTGGGCGGCCGCGATCCCACCGACCAGCACCACTATCGTCCTCCTCCTCCTCCTCCTCCTCCTCCTCCTCCTCCTCCTCCTCCTCCTCCCCCTCCTCCTCCTTTTGCTCCTCCTCCTCCTCCTCCTCCTCCTCCTCCTCCTCCTCCTCCTCCTCCTCCTCCTCCTCCCCCTCCTCTTCCCCGCCTCCCGGCCTCCCGGCCTTCGGGCTTCCTCCTTCCCGAATGGAGTCCAGGCCTGTCGAGAGGCCAGGCAGGATCGGCGCCCACAGTCCGATGCGGCCATGCTCCACTGAGGGTTCTGCAGTGGCGAGCCAGGCTGCCGCGGCGCACTGGTGCAAGAGCCCTTCTCCCAGACAAGTCGTGTTCTAAGAGTGGAATAGCCGCGAAGCAGACCAGCCGCCAGCCATCTCGGGCCCCATCCAGCGGCATGGCATCAAGGCGCGATCGCCGCATGCATTCCTTCCTCAAGTTGTTTGATTCACGAGGTCGTCCCGCCACTTTCCCTTGGCCCGGGCCATGGTCTCGAGCGCGTTTGCCAGGGGCTTCCGTTCAGGACCCCGGCCAGCTGGCACGCCGCCTGGGGGAGAAAGCGGGGCCCTCCCCGTACTGCACCATGGAAGCCACGAGGTCGTCCCGCCGCTTTCCCTTGGCCCGGGCCGTGGTCTCGAGCGCGTTTGCCAGGGGCTTCCGCTC